GTGTGTGTGTGTGTGTGTGTGTGTGTGTGTGTGTGTGTGTGTGTGTGTGTGTGTCTGCTTGTCTCTGTCACTCTTCACACACGAACTGATAATCACATGTATTTAATCATTAATCAATGATGTCGGATCATGACTCCAGATAATTCTGGTCACTTTAACCCTGATGCCCTGGCTGTGCTAGTCACATTACGTCTCGTGTTGTGTAGCAGGTTTTAAAGTGTGCCTCATAAACTGTAGAGCGAATCAAACAAACACAAAGTAAACATCAGAACTGGTTTATTGTATCAAGAAATTCCCACACCTCTACTCAACCGTAAAGGGCAACTCTATACTCAAACCTTAAAAAACCCTCCATAACAAACAACATAAAACCACTGACATTTGGACAGCACACTCATTGGAATTGTAGTGTATATGCCTACACACCTCAAACCATCACAGCCCTGCATGCATCTGAATACGCAACAATCAATGTAAATATTCCCTGTTAAAGTAATGCAACACTCAAGTAAATCAACTTAAGCTGGTGCAGCAGCCAACTCAGCAGCTGCACACACTAACAAATACAGGGACTATAAACAATGAATGGCATCACTAATCAGTAATGTGACTCTCTGAGAATGTGAAAGTACTGTATATATGTCTGTGACTAGACAGTGTGCTTGTGTGAAATTCTAAACACACTGCAATTTTCGTGGATGTATGCATCCCGGTCATCCTCAGAGTATTGCAGGGCTCCAGACTGCGACCATTTAGTCGCATTTTGAGGTTATTTTATGGAAAAAGTGCGCACCACTTGCAAATTTGCAAGGCTCTCACGTGAAATAACAGGAGCGAGCGAAACATTGTGTGTGGCCACTGGGAGCGAGGAGGAGTACACACACACACAGGCTCCGTCCCCACTCATTCGCCCCAGAGTTTATGAGGCTGCAGGTAAACATCATAAAAAATGACTCGTCAACATTTTGTGCACACTGAGTACAACACGAGACGTGACGCACAGTCAGGACTCAGTGTTAAAGTGACCAGAGCGACACAGATTCATGATCCGACACCATCAATTGATAACTAAATACATGATCGTAAGTTGGTCATCGAACTAACTAACTAACCACTTCACTTCCCTAAAATAGGTCCTCTCTTCTCCTTCTGAGACACAGCAAGTCACCAAGGAAACCTGGCCAGTGTGTGGGTGGTCACCGAACTTGTTAGTTCAGCTGTTCTGGTATACTGCCCATGAAGAGCCATTTCTCCTTGTTTCCATCAGTGAGATTAATTAATTCAGATTTCTTAGTGCCTTAACACATGCCAAAAAATGATGATGTCCAAGATGTTAACTTTATATGAATTTGTACTGATGATGTGAGGTTCGACAAATGTAGGCCGCTGCATCAATGAGTTCCGGATCATGATAAATATGGGCTTTGCTCAACAGTTGAAACTGTGGCTGGCCTGAAGCGAGAGGACAGCTGTTTGACTCACTGTAATAATTGTGATGCAGCACTTGCTGTTCTTTTCAGACATGGAAATGAGAGCGTAAGTGAGCTGAAGTCCAACTGATCCAACACTGCAGCTGGGTAAGATGACCCACTGAGAAATACTCTGAATTCAACAGGACTTGAGTAGTTTTCCCCCCAGACCACCTGCACAGAGCTGATGTGCTCCTGGCTACCAAGACAATTGTACTCTATGTCCATCACTGGACCCTGGAAGCAGTTTTTCCAGCCATTAAAGACTGCTATGTCTTTAATGACTATGTGTTTATTTTTTTTAAAAACCTGCAGGGTACGATGGTATCTTTTTTTTTTTAGCCCTCTAAAATTTCCTTTACACATGAAACAAGTATTTCCGATTTATTGTTTGCTAGTCTAACATACAATAAACAATGGGGGGTGATGATATGAGAAACTTAACCTGGAACATTGCAGTGGTAAACAATAGAACTTTCTGAAATGATGGAGAAGTAATATGCACTTACTTGAGATCATAAATCTGTGGGCCACAACACAATAAAAGGGCAATATTTGTTGGGCATCTGAAAGGACCTTACAGAGAAAATAATGTATGCTCTAACGTCACCGATATAGCCTCATGTTAATATGTAAAATCTGTGATACCTAGGGCATGAATTATTTTTTTCTAGCTGTACTCACAGTGTAGAACACTCTTAGATGTAATCCTAACTCATCCCAGTGCATCTCAATGATAAACGCAACCTCAAACCAAACTATATTCAAAATACCGCAATTAAATGACGCCTCGTTCAGAGGCAGCAGGGCAGATTTGATGCTAGGCCACTGGAAACTTCCGTTAATCGTACGGTCTTCTTTTCAAATCAGCAAGCATCTATTTCACCAGATATACACATTTGCTTGAGGGGCCTCAAATAAACTAGGAATTCCTTTTTTAAGTGTTTTGTACCGCAGCCAGATGTGATGTTGAGGGCAGAAAAAGACGGCAGGAATAGCACCGAGGACGCGGTCGTAAGTTGGATTTTGCTGAAACACGTACACTCTGCGGCGACAAAGACGTGTGTGCAGCGGGAGAGTTGGTACTAAAGCTTGGGAAAATGTCTTCTGTGATCTCCAAGGTGGGTAACCAAGGTCCGTTCGACGATTACCGGAGCAGATGTATGATTTCAGCGCGACGCTTCCCCGGGGGCGGCACGTAACGGGGCGCTATCTGTCAGGATACATTATTATGGAGAAGGCTTTTCAGCTGACATGGCTTCGTTTATCTTTTTATATCAGCTGGGCTCACTTTCCAGCTTTCGTGGCTAACATGACAAACACTAGCACTTACGTAACCAGCATTTAAAATGTAGAGTGGCCATGTTAAAGAGAAAAAAACGAATTACGCTTATTCGGAACACGGTAAATAGTCGCAGGTCATGAGGAAAAGGGAAGGAGAGGACATTGCAACAGCACCACAGCGACAAAAACCTACCTTATACGGCGCAGGAGGCTCGAGTTTGTCGATCAGCAAACTTCCAGTGTACCCAGTGGAAACGTCCGGACAACCCTGGCGTTCTCCACAGTCACGCTCCGGTCATTTTCTGTGCACATAGACGGCATCAATCTCGTGGAGGACAAGCTTGTTGCGCTGGTAGACTGGTGGCGATAATGAACCAGACTGCTACAACTTACTGCTCTCCAGGATGTGAAAGACGAGTTGTGATTGGCCCATAATTCAGAGAGGGTTGTGTGTCAGAGATGCTGATTGGGCCATACGGTGTTGGGCGGAACTTCAGCACATTTAAAACCACAGTACAGGTTCAACCAGCAAATCACATTGGAACTACAGGCCCACAGACACCTTAAATTCAACCAAACTGCACCAAATTTCACACACTCTCTCGTTTGAATAGGCCTGATTCTTTCATCAAAACACGTGCATTAGGAAGTAGGAAAAAAATGTCAGAAATGCCATATTAATGTTAAAGAAAGTGAAGAAAATCCCTTTGTCAGGGCTGTCGACGTGCTGTTTCTTGGCCTATGTCCCATCCTAAAGTGTAGTTTTTTGTACTGCTGACAAACCAACCAACAAACAAAAAGAAGGGAAAACATAACTTCCTTGATGGTAATAATGAGGATATTTGGGTTTGTAAGGGGGCATACTGCTCCCTCTCAAGCCATCAGAGGCAAATTGGTGGATGCTATCATCTAGGTAAGAAAGGAAGTTGTTGTACACTTGTAAAAGAATGTATTCAATTCAATTCAATTTTATTTGTATAGCGCCAAAGGAGAGAGAGAGAGACGAGAGGCGAGAGAGACCGGGAACACTTGAGCACCATCAGGTTTCAGCTCTGACTAGTTATAATGGAAACAATAACAGTGTAAAGAAGTTATTGATTATTAATGATAGCAGCAATTATTTACTATTAAGTATTGTGATTAATAATAACAATAATAATAATAGTTGTTATCCTGCAGTCTGGGGTCAGAGATACCTGCAAAGAGAGAGAGAAAGAGAGAGAGAGACTATGGGGGGAAAAGGACACATGAGTGTGACCAGTATTAAAATAAATACGTATATGCTCTATGCTCCTTATATGCATGATAAAAAGCAGTCAGTTGATGGTGAATATGCAAGTTGTTTAGTGCAACAAACTGCAAGTGTAAACTAAGTCCAATAAAATCTAAAAGAAGTCTTTCTAACTCTTTAAAGTGAGGTCCTCTAAACACACACCAGTTTTTTTCATAAGACAATGAGTTTCAAACTACTAGTGACACCAGTAGTGACACTGTTGGGTTTATTTTGATTTTGATTTTAAGGTCCTGACCTTCTATGTAAAGTGCCTTGAGATAATGTATATTATGATTTGGCGCTATACAAATAAAATTGAATTGAATTGAATTGAATTGAACTACCAGGGTAGTACAATCATCATCATCACAATGCCAACCTTTATTCTGCAAAGGTATTTTGGGTGCAAATCAACTGAGCACCAATAACAATGGAATTTGTAATTGTAGAAAATAGTAAATCTGAAGTCACAGAGAAAAAGGCCTCAGGGGTTGCAAACGTTTTCTCTTACAGGAACAACAAAACATTTACACCTTATCAACTTCATTATAGGTGCACAATCCTGATGTTCCGAATCACAAATTAAAAAACTCTCTCACATTTTTTTGCTACAGCTGCTGTGGTAAATATTGCACAAAACACTTTCAGTCACTGGTTAGATATTTTCACACAAATACTGAGTTGAGTTGATTTCTTTTTTATATCAAACTGGTCAGTAAAGCAGCTGTTGTGTCACAAAGAGGAGAGAACACAGTTATCTTTGCTTGAAAGTCAGAGAAAGAGTGATGCAGTGGGAGTAAAAGCCCATCAGGCTTCAGAGGGTAATGGAGAGGGCAGATCAAGCCTCTCACCACATAAGAGATTGCTTTTCTGTTTCAGAAAGATTTCTTGTGGCAATGGAAGCTTTGAAGGCAGAAAAGATGGTCTGTGATCAATGATGCCATTATTGTGACTGCTCTGGTTCCAGTCACAATGAAAAGTCAACAGGGACCAGCATATGAGACACAGGGAACTATGAGACTGAACATGAGGGTTTGAAATGTGTGGGGGTTTTAAATGACGATGCTGACACATTTTTTTAAATAAGGTTGCTTTAAATAAGTAGATTTGGATGATTCTGTTGCTTTCCCTCAAAATGACAACGGAATTTTTTCTGTTACAACAACATATTGATCCTTGTTTCAAAAAGTTAATTTAGTCCCATACTCAAATTTACAACCTAATTCCCATAAAACAGTTATTATAAACCAATCAAATACATTAACCATCGGAGAACAAGTGCAACCATAAAGAAACTGTGTTCCCATTTGAACCTTCGTCGTATTGGATGACTAGGTATCTGATGTTTGTTTTAATATTTAATCATATATTGGTCTATCCAACCAAATATATGGATATTCAATGGACTGTTGACAACTTAATACCACTAAATAAGATACTCAGTCCCATTCAGCATTAATTGTAAGAACATTGGGTGGTGTGATGTTTGGCTAACACTCATATTTCCCATGACACTAATTTATAGTAAAGCAGCAACAATGCACCCTAAGGTAATAAGTGCCTACTGCAGTCCCCTGACATGTGAGGAGCACAGCAGGTCACTACATTGCTGGTTTTTTTTTTAATAAATCAGATATTTCACACACACACACACACACACACACATATATATATTAGAAGTTAAACTAATCTTTATGTCTGTTTGTCTTTGTCCCTGTTTTTCTCTTGTCTCTCCTCTAGCTCCCCCCTGATTAACCGGCCAGTCATCAATGAGGTGCACCTTTGGATTGTGGATTGTGGTTCTTGAAAACTCCTGTGTCAGGATCAGAAAGGGAGCTTCCAGTGTGGGGACTGCTAGGCCTCAGCATGGGATTTTAACATTGTGTGTATTGTGTTGTTTGATGATAATAAATCCAATGGTTCTGCTGTTTTAAAGGTTTTCTGATCTTGATTGGTATCAGTGGTTGTCAGTGATGTTACATGTTGCTCACCTTGTAGGGCCAAATAATTATGGGGCGTAACAATTGGGGGCTCATCTGGGATTTGCACCCAGGACCTCTCGCACCCCAAAGCGAGAATCATACTCCTAAATCTGTAATTAAAGAAAGACATGAGACACAAGATGAACCTGCTTCAAAGTTATATTTTATCTTGTTGAATTTCAAATTATCATCCCAATATATTCTGCATTATAACCATTACAAACCTAGGAACATGCTATGGTCAAAAATCATTTTACAAGCAAGGCAAGCAACTTCCTCCAGCTACCAGTCCTTATGCAAAGACAGATATATTTCTGCACTTGAGCAAGATAAGCTAGAATACAGAAGATCTTGAAATGTCTGAATTAATAAAATGGAGCAACATTTTAATACTAATCACTCTTATTCTTGTATTTTTCTAAATGACTGTTCACAAACAGCTTCAGGATACAAACAAGTTTGTAATTTTATCTCCAGAGGGAGCACAGAAAAAACTTATGACACTTATGTGTTTTGGGTGGCATGGAGTTAGTATTATAGCCCATTGAGGAACGTGAGCCTGTGTTTTCTTGAAAGAAAACAGCTTTGATTGACAGAGTAATATACTAGCCTCACCCTGAATGTATCTATGTTAGTGTTTGGCAGACACTCAAAGAGCATACAACACTGCACTTTCACTGCAAATTCAGGTCAAATGTGTATTTCACTGCAGCCACAGTGAACTATTCTACTCCCACACACTTTATTTTGCCTATTAGAGAAAAATGATTAAAAACAGATGTCCCTTCCAATTATGATTGATTAAATAATGTTTAAAAGCAGCTGCCCAACAGCTATATTATGCAATAACTTGATAATGCTTTAGAACACACACACACACACACACATATGTACATCTGTCTTAGTGAGGACATTCATTGGCATTCATAGCCATCGAAACTAAATGCCTAACCCTTACTAAAACCCGACATAAACTTAACCCTAAAAAAAAGTCTTAACCCTGAAAGAGTCCATTAAAAGTGGGTCAGATCATGCTCTTGTACAGTTTAAACTCATGATAAGTATTGGGGAATTGAGCATTTGTGTTTATCTGAAACAGATCAAAATATAAATACAAAAAGCAAAGTCCAAACTGGAAGTCCACAACACATCCAAAAATGATTTCCCAAATTTCCAAATGCAAAGTCTCCTAAAAATTCAACTGAGGGGGCAAAAACTCCTTGGACACCTGGAATGCAGATGAAAAAAGTTGAAGTGATTCAAAGTCAAACTCAGTCAAACTGTTTCTAGTTAATGTGTGATGAGCTCAGTTTGACTGAAATGTTATTTTTTCAGTTTTGCTCCTCATCTCTATCTGGTTTGTCTGGTCTGTCCGAATTCACCCAGTCATTCACAAACCCCTACTTTACTATATATTGACTTTTATATAACTATATAGTGAGCTCATCAGCAAAGGAAAACATTGCTCTTAGACACTACTTGGCACATAGAAGCTCATCTGACTTCATTTTGGGTATCAAGCTTTCTGTGTCCTTTAAACTTGTAAAGCAGCTGGCAGCACAACAAACCTCAGTGTGTCCAGCCCATTGCAGATGTACATCACAGGGTGAGTCAAGCCAGTTAACAACAGTTCTTTGGTTTGTGGTAGAATATAAAGTTACATGACAGCTTCTAGACTCCACTGAGTCTTAAAAGGCAACACTCAGCCAATCAATTATAAAACAAGTACAATATACTACTTGTGCATACAACTCAGTACAGTGTGGCTGTGGCCAGCACAGGGGTTAGAGTGGTGTTTCTCTAACCAGAAGGTTGGTGGTTCGATTCTAGTCTTTCCAAATGCTGAAGTGTCCTTGGGCAGGATACTGAACCCCAAATTGCTTATAGAGAAAAGTGCTACACATAGATGCACTGAATTAATGTGTGTGTTTGAGTGGGTGAATGTAAAACAATACTGTAAAGCACTTTGAGTTATCAACAATACTGAAAAAGCAGACCATTTACAGTGGAAGACTTGATGTAAATTATAGATACGACATAAAACTAAGGAAACAGGACACCAGCTGACTGCCTTTCATGTAGCAATGATGTAGGTGATACCCACAAGCATGGACTTAAGTCAGAGGTTTATTTGTCTGAATTGCTAAAGTAGCTGAACCTT